TGGAAAAGCCAACTTTTTAGGGCGCGTCGGAAGGACCGGAGGTCGGGGATTATGCGAAGCTCTGGGAGCATTTCAGAGGGAAGGCGCTCCCACAGAGAAGGCTCTCCCCCTGGGGGTCACTAGCCGACACTGTCTGGCCGACGGCACCCTGACGCCAACTCTGTGGGGTCGCACTGGACGGAGGGAGGCTAATGGTGGCAGTAGGTGATCTCGCAGGTACCCTGGGCCTAAGCCATGGAGTGCTTTAAAGGTCATAATTAGTACCTTGGATTGCACCCAGAAAACAACCAGCAACCAGTGCAGGCCACCTAAAAGGGGTGTAACATGGGAGAACTTAGGTACCCCCATGATAACCCACGCAGCCGCATTCTGGACCAGCTGAATCCTCCAGGTGCTCTTCAAGGGCAGCCCCATGTATTATTATTATAATTATTTCTTCTGTTCTAAGTAGCCATATTTATTTATGCAAGATAGAAAAGGATGCAGTTACGAGCAGATAGTCTTTGTCATTACAATGTGTTTCTAAATAACAACACCTGTCGATTAAATTAAAAAGTATTAAAAGCATAGTATTTTAAGCAAAAAATAAAATGAATGCTACATATCATTTCAGACATTATCCTATGACGTAATACAGGAAGTCCTCGACTTACCACAATTAAGCCCAAAATTTATGTTCCTAAGCAAGATAATTAAGTGAGCTGCACCCCATTTTACAATCTTTTTTTAAGCGAATCATGTGGTTGTTAAGTGAATCTGACTTCCCCTACTGACTTTGCTTGTAAGAAGCTATCTGGGAAGGTTACGAATGGCAATCCCACCACCCTGGGACACTGCAACTGTCATAAACACATTCCAGTTGCCAAGCACCTAAATTCTGATCACATGACCACAAGGATTCTGCAACAGTCGTAAGGGTGAAATCCAGTCTTGTCACTTTTTTCAGTGCTGTTGTAACTTTGAACACTCACTAAACAAATGATTGTATGCGGAGGACTAGCTGTACAACTTTCTACTTATCACACAATTGCTGTTTTCCTATTTTTAAGAACTTACCAACACTCTGGCTGAGAGATCCAGCATTCCCCGTTTCTCAACTAAATTGAAGATATGACTGATTTGGTGCAAAGCTTGCATGATTGGAGCCGTGCTGTTTTCTTTCACTATATACTCTATTAGATTGAAAGCCGAGGACAAAGTGACTTTTCCTACCCTAAAGAGATCAGAAAAAAGTTTTAGAGTAGTATTCTAATTCTAATATTATAAAGATTTATACTGTGAAAACTTGTGGAAATTTGTATTTTTAAAACTGAAATATATTGTTCCAAATACATTCTGAGCTAGTTTCATTCTAGTATCAATAGATTGGGGAGGTGGAAAGAAATTATGGGTAAGGGAAACTTCTCTATATGATAATCTTTGAGAAACAACCCATTTAAGGTTTTTCTTTTCAAAGCCAAACTATGAAGAAACAATAGAATTTTGCCATTATGAATTTTTTTATACTGTTAAACATTCTAAGATACATTTAGTAGAATTCAATCTGGGTCAATCTCTGGGACCAGGGGTTAGGTCTTCCACGCTTTCAGACTTGTGCTAGAGCCCTCCTCAGAGAATTTCTCTCTCATCAGAATGTGTGTTTTTGGGGGCTATTCTTTGCATAGTATTTATGTGGTGCCTGATTCTGTGAAATCAGCACTCCTGTTGACTGACAAGGGGCACTTTCCCAGGCTTCAATCATTTCCCTGGCTATTTTTGTACTTGCTTGGCCAACAATTTCAGTAGCTGTTAAATTAAATGTATGTCCTTGTTGGTTGCAATGTGATGCTATCGATGGGTTCGGATCTCCTTGTATGACCACTCATGTGTTTTTGCAAACTGGTGGTTAGCTTTCCCCCCGTCTGTCCTACATTGTCACATGGGCAATCCATGCAGGGGATCCAGTAAATTACATTAGAAGGATTTCCAAGCAATCTTTGCAATGCATGGTTTATTTTCATATGGTAGCCTCTGAGCAGTGTTTGAAGCCCACTTGCAGATCTCAGAAGCTGTGTTCTATTGGTTCCTAAATGTTTTTGACAGGGTGTGCCATATAGTTGGTCTTCTACCGTCTTTCTTCCTTTCTTTCCCATGCATGTTGTGCAAGCATCTTGCAAACAATTTATAAGATTGATTTATTTACAGGGGAAGAGAGAAGTTCCCCGAGGATGGGCACCAACACAAGCCCAAAATCTCAGAAGATTAAACCTCTGGTTCCGGTGATAAACCCAAATTAGGTACTGCAACATTAACCTGGGACACATATATGTGCTTTCAATCACGAGCCACACTTGGCTTAGATGTGCACCATTCACAAAATGTGGAGGCAGATCCCTGGTTTTCTACAATTTAGATCAAATCAAAAGCTATGTACTTCATCCTGGAAACGAATCAAGACAGAGGCATCTGTGCCAGGTCGAATTTTTTTTTTAAGATGGCTGCACAATTGTATAATCAAATAGCATAGCCACCTCTTTTTTTTACATGTGTGTGTCTATTTAAAATTGAAATCTCCTAGCACTTAGCTCTTTTAAGAATAATGTTGTTTCTAATCTTTTTGTGGTTTTTATGAATTCATATTATTGGAATTGCTATTCGGAGGAAGAACATCCATAGTGCTATAACTACAGTGTTATTGACATCTGTTCAACTATTTTGCAGTAAATTCCAGATTCATTTAACTCCTCCAAAAACAATTCTAAACTGGAACTGGTATTTTTCTGCTTCACCATGTTCCCGAGTCTCTAAAACATTGTAATATGGTGTATATCCCATTCTCTGTGATAGCTGAATATTTTATATTTAAATTTTTATTTGACAAAAAGAAAATTTCATTTTGGATCATTACCCAGCCAGAATAAATACATTATGAATCAAATTGGCTCTGTCTTTGGGATCAAAAATACTGGGATTTGTGTTCAGTTGGTGAATTAGAGCATTCCAGTCATTATCATCATAGTGCACGATATAGTAACCATTTCCATTCACATTGAACTTCACCCACTCTATTTCATGGGGGTACTCAATTACACCTAGATAAAAAAAGAAAAGGAGAGAAAAAAAAGTAAAAAAGCATCAGTTTAAATCAGTGCTAATTGCTGAGTATTCACAAGGATAAACATTATTTACTGACAATACTTGGGCAGCCATTTCTCTTTGTATTTCTTACAGAAAATCAGGGGTACTTGCAGGGAGAAGTAGCTCCTGTTCAATGCTATAAAGGACATCTTGAAGAGTAGTAACATTGCATAAACTGAATTTTCACAGGTCAGTCCCCAATACAGATACCTTCCTCCAAAATCTATTGCTCATCAAATTTGTTTGATAACATGTACAAGTTTCCCCAAAAATAAGATCAGGTCTTATATTAATTTTTGCTCCAAAATATGCGTTAGGGCTTATTTTCTGATTCGATTCTTAATTTCAGGGGAAAATGGTACTAAATGCGTACATCTGGCTGACAATCTTACCTGAGGTTTATTTTTAGGGTAGAGCTTATATTACGAGCATCCGGAAAAATCATGATAGGGCTTATTTTCCATTTGGGTCTAATTTTCGGGGAAACACAGTAAGCACACTTCAGCAAAATAAAATTTGTTCACCTGCTACTTTCAATATCACAGTTTAACTCTTATTTATTGTATTTATTCTCACAGCAATTGGTCTAAGCTTTGAATTCCCCCTTTTTGAATTATGTTATTTGGTATCAGGCAGTTCCTGTGTTAAGAACAAATTCCATTTCCTAACTCTGCTTTTAACCCAAATATGTCAGAACTTTTACAAGAAGCAGAAAACTTACAAGAAGCATACAGACAGACAGACAGACAGACAGACAGACAGATAGATATGGATATATAGATATGTATTGTGTCACAACCCCTGATATGCCCAAATATGGGAGGAAGCATAGTGCTTCCTTTCTCTGTCTATCGGCTCATCACAAGAGACCATCCATCCAGACAGAAAGCCATTATTTTTACTGTTGCCTTTGTTACATTTGTGTTGCATTTGTGCTGATAAATAAATAAAGGGAGACTAGTATAGATCTATTTCAAGCTATTTAGCTCTCNATTCAGATGGAAGCAAATTCTCCAAAGGCAGCTATCAGAGACAAACAAACAGTGACCTAAGATGGAGCACTTTGACTCCAACATCAAAGAGGGAGATAGGAGGAGAACAGTCCTAGACCCCTCTTGCTTACAAAATACCAAAATACCTTACTGCTAAGAATTAGGCTATACATTTGTCATTATGTAAAGATGGGCAGTATACAAATTTAATAAAAATAAGTAAATATTACACAATTTGCCTATTGCACTCCCATTATATTACAGTATAATGTAATAATGTTTAATACTGTCACAGTATAAAGAAATTTCATTAAAATGAGATCAAACTGAAGTTTTATTTAATCTCAGCATTCAATTCCCCAAATGGCCGACCTATGAAATGCCTTTAGCCAGGTGAAATGAAAGCAACAGCAGTCTCCTCTTTTGTTTCCTAGCAAATAAAAAGCCTTAACTCTACCTAAGGGTTAAACAAAGAGTTGTTAAGAGCAATAACAGTAATAACCCAGTTAGAAAAAGGAAGATTAAAACCAGGGCAGCACTTGTTCCCTTCTCAATTACTCATTATACCTACACTTCTATTTATTGCCATTAACTCTGGTTAGTTTTACTGAGATTAGATATAAATCAGCTGTGCTCTTTAGGAATTCTCTTTAACTATGTGTATGCTTGGCATTAGACACAAGCTGCTCCTCACCAACCCCCAAAAAGTGTTGTGCAAGTTATACTACGGCTGTCTGTCTGAATCAGTGCTATTGGGACTTTTAGATAAACAATCACCTCATTGTGTTATTGAACTGTGTGGTCACTGAAATCACTGGGAGATACCACTACATGTACTAAGAGCTGCTGAGTGCCATTTGGCAGGTGCTCTTATGTGGCTTTTGTGTGGGTACCCATATTCTGGAATGTTTTCTCCCTTTGAAATTTAGGAGGCAATTACTGTAACAGTCAGTTTGGTGAAGTGGTTAAGAAACCAGGCTAGAAACTGGGAGACTATGAAATGCTATTCCTGTCTTGGGCACAAACCAACTGATAATTTTAGACCAGTCACTCACAGACCTAGGAAGAAGGCAATGACAAACTACTGATGAAAAACATTGCCAAGAAAACTATAGGGACTAATCCAGTCAGTTACCAGAAATCAGCACTAACTCAAAGGGGCAAAAGGGGGGAAAATGCTATAAAATCTTTAGTCACCTGATAAAGACTTACTCTTCCTTCAGGACTTCCTGATATGAATGTTGAAATACTATTTTGTTTTTTGTTTTTATCCTCTCTTCCATCCCTTTAATGAAGATATTTTATGGAATGTTGTTTTGATATTATTGTTTTACATTGTTTTATCATTTATTAGAAATTTCCTTTAATTGCTTTGGCATTTGAAATAGTTTATAAGTGCATTAAATCAATACATCAATAAATATATCATGTGTGGGACTGACATTTGAAATTACCGTATTTATAAGATTCATATATTTATTTATTTATTTCATTTATATGCCGCCCTATTCCCGGAGGGACTCAGGGCGGCTAACAAACCCAGGGGAGGGAGTAATACAAACAAGGCAAAAACATATAGTAAAAATATAGTTCAGAGCACAGCAGGAAAAAATAACCTTTATTTCTTTATGCCGAAAGATTAAAAAATTCCTTCATAATTTCCAACTGGGTGAAATTACTTCTTCAGATTAATTATTTTAACTGATTGCCTTGATTATTTCCAAATATCTTTGCTTTTTTTTTTACAAAAAGGCAATAGGAGAGCACATATTAGCTTAGGAAGTAATAGAAGTCTGACATCATTTGGAGACTTTGCATACCAAACTTTTACATCATTTTACAAAATTAATAAGAGCTTTATTGCCTCCAGATTGAAATATATGTTTTAATATATGGATTACTAAACGTGTCTAAAAATTCCACAGTATGTTCAACTTGTCCATGCCTTTAAAAATATTTTTATAAGGGAAGGATACAAAATTGAATCTGATAAGAATAAACAAACACTCACCTGTTTTGTTTAATGGGTATGTTATGTTAAAATAATTCTGGTAAAATTCAAGTAGCTTCACTGCTGTGTTCAAGGCATATTCAGTCTGCCCAAGCTTTTGTGGTACAGCATAAACAGATACCTGGCACAATGGGAAAGAGAGAATAAATCAGAGGAAAGTTTCAATGGAATTCAGTTTTTCATTGTCTACATTACTAAGTGAAAAAAACCAAAGATTTTCTATAATAGTTGACAAGATAAACAGATAACCAAGTTTCATTATTTATGATATTTAAAAGGTTTAAGATTGTCTTAGATACATTTGTATAGCATATTATACAACAAAATGCAAGATGTTTTCCTTGGTTTTTTTCATTTCTAAAGACTTATATCCTGATAGCAGAGAAGCCATTTCTATGATGTTAATATATACATGTTCACAATTCAGGTCTGGACCACAAGTTTGGTATTTCTCCCCTTCCTTCAACCACCATGAACAGGAGTTGCTGAGATAAAAATAGATCTCATCAGGTGGAAATAAAAGGAAGTAGTGGGTAAAATAAGAACTAAAGAAAAGCTTTACACTACTCTGTCTCTTCAGATTTAGGCCAGCAAATGGAACTTTCTTCAAGATGATCCCTAACATTTCTCCTCTAGCCCTGACAAATGGGCAAATAGATTAACACTGAACACTACTGAATGTTGTAATAATTTGATATGATCAAAAACAAAGCAACTACCAAGCCAATTGTCAGGTCAAAAAACCCCACTTTCAGTGGGGCAATGACACAAGCTAGTGAACATGACTAATTCAAATCTAAGAAGTGTAACATAATATATTGGGAAACAAGGGGGATTTTGGGGGGGAGGGGTTACAGGAACAAAAAAAACCACCTACCAAAATCCCATTTGTTTTCTTACTGGTACATTTGAAATTTCCAACAATGATAGCTACTAGGTAAGTGCTCATTTTCAAGCTCACAGAGAATTCATCTTGAAATAATCCATTTGCCAAGAGATTGCTTTGTTTCTGGAAATACAAAGCGGAGATCAGAATTCAATTATGTAAACAGAAGCTGCAGGACCTGGAACATAAATCATAGGAGCCATCTGTTCTATGTTGAGATACTTGGAAAATGGCTAATATGCAAAACATAATGTACAGAACATTGTTATTTCCTATGACTGCACTACCCAACAATTAGCAAATTAAAATTATATCAATTAATCTAAGAAGTAAAAATTAGTTCAGTTTAGAGTAAGTTCATCTGCCAGAGTTAGACCAAAAATAATAAGCACTGATCTTATAAAGATTTGTATGTGATGTGCTTCATGAATGTATTAACTGAGAAAGAAATATTCATCCAGAGTATTAGCAGGAACCACTGCTAATATTGAATTTATCTTTTGGTTGCATGATGCTTTTACACAAACACAATTTACTTCATGATATGATCTCAACCTGACTAGGGTTCCTTCAAAAGTCTGCTCTTACAGTGCATTACATAAACTTAATATATAGTTTATTCAGAGCAACAATGATGCCAAATTTGCAAACCATCACTGAAAAACAAGAGCTCATAACTTGAAAGCAAATTGTGCAAACAATTTAATGAGGAATTAGCTATCAGTCTCCCCATTTTTGCTTTTATTTCAATTTCACTTGAAAAGATCAGGGTAGTCCATAGTACGGCATGTTATGCACAAAATGATGTTACATGAAGGCAAAGTTAAAAAGGCACTCTAGAGAACATTTGTTAGGGTGCCACATAATTGCATTATAAAATTTCCAAGAACAGTCTAATCTCACTACTAATCAACTACTAATCAGCTAGCACTGCATTCAAACAATAATTAAACTTTGATACCCAAGCAGTTATTTAATTAAATAAACAAAGCAAAAAAAAAGTCTCAGGATACATTGTATTTCTATTTTATAGCATAGTAATTATTTCTAAATTCAAATAAATGTATACAAATTAGCAAAGAAAACAATTTAAACATCTAACTCTTTTACTTTATTTTTTTTATATTTCAGGCTATCATCAGAAATACCATAAATCCAATAATCACATATAATAAACTATATTTCTATAGTGGTACATTCTACAATGTTTCATGATGGTGTATAATAAAAATCAAATTTATGTAATGCAAACCCTAAGAATGTACAATTATCGATATATTTTATAAATTACTGAAATAAAATTAATAATATCATCCCAGAGATATACAGTATCATAATCAAATGTTCTTCTGAATATCTGTTTCTAACATTTCTCTAGATGTCAGAAGTGATGGAGTCACCCAGATTTTTAATGAAAGGCATATGTGCAAAACTGAGAAACATAATGTCCTTCTTTCCCCTTTGATCCCATAAGGGGGAGAAAGAACACTCCATCTCAGATTGCGACATGTGTACTGTATGCGTACGATCCACTTGAAGAAACTGTTCTTTTAAGAGGCCACGTTCCAAGCCATGTAAGGCTTTAAGTCCAGACAACCATTAATCAAACCATGATGGGATTCAGTTTAGTTCAAAGTCCACCCTCCTCCCCAAAATACATATACACATAGACATTAAACAACTCACTATAGCCTTCCAAGCACTAAATCGATTCCCACTGCTTGGCTTAGGATGAAGATATATAACATATAGTGATGATACAGCCTCAACCAGCAAATGAATTACAGAATAACAGAGTTGGAAAGGACCTTGGAGATCTGCTTGTCCAAATCCTGCTCAAGCAGCAGACTCTATACCATTTCAGACAAATGGCTGTTCGATCTCTTTTTAAAAGCCTCCATGATGAAGTACCCAGAGGTTGCCTCTCTCCTTAATTAGTTTCCATCCATTCCTTCTTGTCTTCCTTCTGGTACTTCAGAAAATAGGCTGACCCCTTCTTCTTTGTGGCAGCCCTTCAAATATTGGCACACTGTTATCATGTTGCCCCTAGTCCTTCTTTTCACTACCCAATTCCTGCAACCATTTTTCATGTTTTAGCCTCCAGCTCTATTCATTTCTGTTGCTCTTCTTTGCATTCTTTCCAGAGTCTCAACATCTTTTTTACATTGTGGTGACCAAAACTGGATGCAGTATTCCAAGTGCAGTCTTATTAAGGCCTTATAAAGCAATGTTAACACTTCACCTGATCTTGATTCTATCCCCGTTTTAATGCAGCCTAGGATTGCATTGGCTTTTTTGGCAGCAGCAGCACACTGCTGGCTCATATTTAAGTGATTGTCCACTAGTACTCAAAGATCCCTCTCAGTTACTGCTATTGAGCCAGATTTCACGTAATCTGTACCTGTACAAATTCATATTACATTTTTTCCACTTTCCTATCAACCTCTTCTTTCCTCAAACTTTCCTATTGATTCCTTCTCACTCTTACTGAACTGATAAAAGTAGGAATCTCGCCTTCTCCCCCCAGAGGGGTATCTTTTTTAAAATAAGACATAAAATTAAACCACCCCAATCATTTGTGGCACTTCCTTAATGACCGTGCCCCCAATGACAATCTGTTTTATGTTCCTGGCATCTAGGCTACTCAAGGAAGGACCCATGGCTATGGTTTACAGCTCTTGGTACCACCAACTGATCTCACTGATTACAGGCAATCAGAATTCTGGCCTTTCAACCAGCTGAACACTCTTTTCTGCAGCCTTCTCAGTCGCATAGGGCAGATGTTGTTGATGAAAAGATTCCTCAGCTATTCTTTCCCCACTACTTTTTCTCCACCCAGATTGAACAGCTACTTCTGAACCACACTGGCATGGATTTTAGTGAATCGTGTTCTTATCTCTTTTCCCATCGTCTCGTTTTTTCTTTCATTTTATAATCAACGGTCACCATTACAGTGCTCTCAATCTTCTGTCTAGTCCCAATCCTATATCAACCAATTTCATTATGCCTTCATTTTTTTTGTAAAATCTTGTCCTACCAATTCAACTGAATCTTATTCAGCAACATTAAAACTCTTAGAAACGCAACACTTGAATAATTTTCTCAGCCACTTTCTGTTTCTTCTCACATTTTCACTCTTCAATAGCTGACCACCAGCATCCAACCTACTTCTTTGTTCTTTTAGCTTAGTGGGATCCTACATGGCTCAACTAACATGCATAGATGTTAGGTTTGGAAAAAAGATCACAATATTCAAAACTCACCCTTTTATTGATCATCCATCTTCCTGCTAATCCTGAAATCTAATTTTGCAGATTTGTCAAGACACTTTTGGGGAGGAGGGGGGGAAATGTTACCATGTCCTTCCATTTAGCAGAATATCACTGCACTACAGTGATATTATTTTCTATGTCTTACAGTAATTAAAAATAAGTCCATTTAAATGCATAGTCACTTACAAAATGGAATTTCTAATTCTGTTGACAAAAAGAAGAAATATACTGCCTTCATATCCTATGTGTGGGATTCCCAGTGCAATCTAGGTAGCCTCCAAGGGGAAGTGGAAAGTGGAAAGTAGACTAAATCAATATTTTAATTTTTCTTATCTTCTAAGCTACATTTACCTTTTTATTGTGGAAATACAAAAATATAACTAATAAGACACATAAATTCATAAAATAAAGTCCTTTACCAAGTAATACAATTTTCCTGTCGTATGGCACACTTCATGAGTATATACCGTATATACTCGAGTATAGGCCGACCCGAATATAAGCNCCCCCCCCCCGAGCACTCTACAAGCCTCTTAAAGGCTATGCATGCCTCTTTTTTTAAAAAAAAGAAGCGGTCCCATTTTTGTGAAAAACGACTTGTTTTTGGAAGATCTGCAGAGTGCAAAAACTCTTCAAAATCTTGGTGCATCTTATACTCAGGTGTGTCTTATACTCCAAAAAATATGGTACTTTATAGGATAAAGAAAGTAACACAGCAAAATGACTGAGCAAAATGCTTTTTCCTCTAAAGACAAGTTAGGCAGCTTCACAATATATAGCTAAGCTGAAGGCAAAGATAATGGAGATGGCTAGAATACAAGTGAATATGTGTAAAATTAAACGACGATATAAACACCATTCATTCCACAGTTAATTCATTAATATGGATCATTTAGCCAACTGGTCCTGGGGAACTGAATGTTTACACTAATTTGAGAACAGGGATAAGATGATAATCAAGTGTGTTTGACACCAGTCTGCTTCACCTTTGCTTAGCTTATTACATTCAAGAAGGACGGTATCCCCATTTTTAACAAAGAGGCTATAAATTTCTGGAGGGACCAATAATAGACCCTTTAAAGGAAATAGTAATTAGGTTATCCTAAAAAGAAGATTTAAAATATATGGATAACTGATTGCTGATATTAGTTGATTGTTATATCTTCTTCTTTAGAAGGCATCCATAGAGATTTACCTTATTCATACTGTCCCATAAATTATCACTGCATGTGGAATTATAGCTGTAGTCATGCAAATAGATCTGAATGCCAGTTTGGAAAACATCTTTATGAAGATAGTTTTTTAACATAAACAAGAGAGAAGATCCCTGTTGGAAGAAAAATACATTATAAAGTTAAATACAAAATTACAGTCCTCATTTCAATTTACACAAAAACATGATGATCAATTTAAAACAAAACCTAACTCAGCAGAAATGGTTATATTTGAATGTGCAAGAGTTGGTTTGAAAAGTGGAGAAAAGGAAGAAACAAACTTGAGCTGTTTTGAATTTAATGACACTAATTAGTGATGACAAGAGAGAACTAGAAAGTTGTAAGAATGGAATGAAGTTGGATTTCTTCTCATGATGCCACACATGGTTTAGAGCAGGAAGCTTTTTTAAGAAAGGTTATAGTTTAGAAACATTTTTATAATGTTTTCTGGCCTTCAAAAGCCCACTGATCATCAGGTTTAATGCAATTAGAAGAAGGGGCATTATAACTCCCTAAGGCTTGGTCCTTATTTTAATTGGGGGTGCGGGTGAAGGAAGAGATGGTGAGATACCAACATTATTTTGCAAAATTAGTTTACAGGAATTATTGAATTCTATTGAATTCACATCCCTGATTTAATATTATATCCAAAAACATTCAAAAAGCATTGGAATTAGGAACTATTTAGTATGCTATCAGTGAAGAGAGAACAAAATTATTAGCTCATACTCTTTGTTTTTAAAGAAATATTTCTAAAACCAAGCATTTGTCTGCTAAAACAAATCAGATTAAAAATTAAGGCATATATTTTCCATTCTATTCTTCTCGCAACACATCCCTCCAAATTCATTTTTGAATTTTTTTTTTCTTTCAGCTACTGACCTTTTGTTGCCCATACTAAGAATGTGATCTGAAATAGATTGGTGTCAACTTTAAAAATGCATTTAGTTTTATTAAAGCCACATTTACAGGATATTTGAAGTTACCTTGATGTAGGAGACTATATCAAACATTTGTTCAATCTCTGCTGATGAGTTGACAGGAAAGGAAACTGGGTGAGATGAATTCATGGAATCTTTCTCCATGGTCTTAAATTGCAGATTTAAAAAAATGTCATCCTGAGGAATTAAAAGGCATTTAAGTTAAAATGAACATTAACTAAACTTCATTAATTTCACTAGTGAATAAAGATCAGAAGATTTTTTTTCTAATTATCTGGAAGGACTTGTGAGAATTTTTTTAAAATTATTGTATTTATCACAAAAAAGTTTATTATTGTTATTTTATTATTACATTTATAACTTGCCCTTCCTCTGGGAGTTCAGGTCAAAACACCCATTACCGTATTTTTTGGAATATAAGATGCACGTTCCCCCCCCTAAAAGAGGCTGAAAATTTGGATGTGTCATAGCTTTTTTTCAGCCCTAATGAGGCGCTTACAAGTGAAGCAATCTTCCATGCTTTGCCTGCTTTTCTCATTGCTGCTCCTTCCGATGATCAGCTGTGCTTTGGAAGCTGTTTTTTATCCCCAACCAGGGGATAAAAAGCGTGCACACTCAATACCAGCAAACTTTGCTGAAGCTGATCAGACTAAGGACGCTAAAAAAAAAGGTTTTCCTATTTTCCTCCCCCAAAATTAAGATGTGTCTTATACTCCACTTCGTCTTATATTCTGAAAAATATAATATATTTCTCATTATATTCTCCATCAACGTAGTGGAATAGGTTAGGATGAAAAATATCATCTGGCTCAAAATCACTTGGCCAGTTTTATATTTGAAAAGGGATAAACAATTGCACTGTTAGATCTGCTTCTTTAAGTTATACTAGGCAAGTAACAGAGGCCTAATCATCTGATAAAAAGTACATCCTAGTGATCATACATTTCTGAAAATAATGGACCTGGGAAGAAGCAAAACAAGCTGGTACAGGTAGTCCTTGACCCACAATCACTATTAAACCTGGAATTTTGGTTACAGGTTATTGTGGTTATTAAGTAAGATACCCACTCAATGACCACAACTCTAGCTCTTCTGTTGTGGTAGTTAAGTAAAACTGCAGGGGTGCCTCAGGGATTTTGAATCCCTCATTCCTTGAGGGGCGCACACTGGCACATGAAACCTGCTATGGGCTGAAAAGCTTCAGCTGGGTAGGCCCAGGAGCATGCAGGATGACCAGCAACAGAAAAGTTCCTGTTCCTGGCCAGCCTTTAGAAGGATTGTCTCTCTAGCCTTATGTGAGGGGAGCAAGAAGCCAGGGTTCTTGGGAGTAGTGGTGGGAAAATAGGAGGCCCGTGCATTGCTGGGCCTAGCCTGCTGAGACAAAAAAAAATTGTATGTTCAGACTTGCAAGATTTTGTTATTGAAACCTTACAATAAACTACATGTAGCTCATTTACTTGTCTTTCGTGTCTGGTTTACCTGAGAGAATTAATATCATTTTTGCAACTCTGAAGGTATAAACTTCCCAGTGCTACTTTTAGGCCTCTGCTCAATTAGGATGGGTCTTTTTAAAGTTTCTTCTTCTGCCTATTAAGCCTTTGGGGGCTCCTCCCTCTCATCTGATTGTTTCATAATCTCTTTCCTTTGTGCGCCCAAGGTCATACACACCACAAATAAATTTCTAAATAATGTAATCGGTTTTAGCTTCTGAAACTAAAGACAGATGAAGTCAAAAGAATTTAGACCCATAAAATAATACATGAGAAATATGCAAACCCGTGTACTTACAGTATACAAATCTGGAAAGACCATCTTCATGGCAAGATTTTCCATAAAAGTAGCAAATCCTTCATTCAGCCACAGGTCATTCCACCATTCCATTGTTACCAGATTACCAAACCACTGCAAACATAAAGCACATATTGTAACTCTATTGTTACATTTTGTGTCAAAAGAAGGAACACTAGATTGGGCTATATACTAAGACTTTCAGATCTATTCCAGTCTATTGTTTCTAGCCAGAAATATCAAGAGTTCAGCTCAAGACATCTAGGAGGCTAACATATCACTATCTTAAAAAGGAAACATTCTCAAAAACCAGCATATCCGTTTCTCAAAATAACATTAATCATTACAACAGGAAATAGACCAAAAAACTTGTACTGGGGCTATGTATACTTTTTCAGCTTAAAAAAAGCCACATAATTGACTGAATTATTTTTAATAAGTGCCTGTGCTGATACCTTATGGAATGTTAATATTCAGTTAAGCAAAATATTCAGAAACATCTTACTTGCAGGACACAGTGCTGTAAATTGTTCTAGCTATATCACGATACTGGTTGAAGAGGATTAGAATACTGTAACAAAATATACAGGAAAAACTACATTTTTGTGTGTGTGTGTGTGTGCACAAATTAGTATGCAATTTTTAAAACACTTCTCTTTCCTTAAGACTTTCATGTATTTTGACTATATAAAAGGAGGAAGACTAAAATAAGTTAATTCTCAATTCTACTGCTTCCATATTGTATGCCATGTACTCTTGGTAGAAATGGTATCGCATAGAAAAAATAAAGAAACCAGTTCGCATTTAAATGTGTTATGGAATAAAAATTGCAAAAGCTAAACTTCCTTGTAGACTACCGGTTTTGGAATTTCGATTATTTAAAAACATCTACAGTACGAAGAATAGTATATTCCATACCTGGTGGGCTAGCTCATGAGCAATAACTGCTGTCACTCTCTTTTTATCAATTGCTGAAGAGGTATTATTATCATAAAGGAGTGCTGTCTCTCGAAAAGTGATCAAACCCCAATTTTCCATTCCTGCAGCCTGAAAATCTGGAAGAGCTACAAGATCTGGAGAAAGAAGGAAAATTATTTTAAATACACTAGCAGCCTTCAGTATTTACTAAGCATATCGAATCTTTCAATCAAATATACTCATATATACTATATATGATATCAATATATACATTATATCAACCAGGGGGGTGACTTTGAGCCAATCACTCTCTTTTAGCCCAATCCATCACACAGTGTTGTTATGGGGAAAATAGGAGGAAGGAGTATTATGTGTATTCCTCATTTTGAGTTGTTTATAAAAATAATAAACGTGGGATATAAATAAATAAAATGTTTAATTTCATGAACATATCTACTGTCCCTGCTGAACATCTTGTCACTTTTAAACAACATATGATCAATTTGTCTAAATATTTAATGTATCTCACATCTTTTATAAACTGTTTTTTTAATTCTTAAACATGTTGCAGGCACATAAATAAATGTGTCTTCTCAAAATGTTCAATTTTGAGCATTCACTATTTTTAATCATATAATAATGCAATAGAAGTCTCTCTTGCTCAGAATGGGACTGTTCTCCTCCTACCCTTCGCCTCCCCTTTTTCGCCATCAGGTTTCCACCCCCAGCCATTAACCTCTGCCCTCTCGCCTCCGCTGTTAGGACCCTAGCTGTTCATGCCAGCCAACCCTGCCTCTTTATAAGAGCCGAGGTGGCGCAGTGGTTAGGGTGCAGTACTGCAGGCCACTTCAGCTGACTGTTATCTGCAGTTCAGTGGTTCTAATCTCACTGGCTCNGACAAATCACAGCTTGAACTATCTTGCTTTGCATGTAATGAGTTTATCTCATATATTAGTTTCACCTTTTAAATTGCATTACTGAAATAAATGAATTTTTGCACGATATTCTAATTCTTTGAGTTTCACCTGTACATATGCACCCCTTTTCAGTCTTGCTGATGTTATAAATAGTGCAGACGAATGTACAGAATTCCTATCAAAGTAAAGCAAGATAGATGGGAGCCATTTCTCCATTTGTCAAACTGCTACATGCCAATACTAGCCAAGGAGTAAGGGGATTCACTTTTTCTCAGTCAGATGAATGCCAAATAGGTTGGTGGAAGAAAAATGAAGTATTTAATCCCTCATTCAGCAAATTATATTTTATCTGCACTTCACTCTTTATTATTCATCAGACTGTCACACTTTGCCAATATCATCCAGCTCTTTGGCCTAATACTACTTGTCCATAAGGTCCAGCCATAAACATGCTCTGCTTGTTGCAATTTAGTACAATACTATTAATACTGATTGGCAGCAGTCTTTCTGGATTTACAGCAAGAAGCTTCTATCAAAATACCCAGATTTAAATCAGGGAAAAAGAAATTGCATGCCAGGAAGATGTTCTGCTTCTATATAAGCAATAGTGCTTTATTTCTACAATAGGATTCCATAATATTCAGCAATATAGATAATATTAAAACTAATCTATAAAGATGAGTATAATTATTTTAGCTATTTTACGTGTTAATCAGGAAACCAAATATTTTGGTATGAAGAGAAAACTGAAAATAAATCAACAGGAAGAAAATGAGGTTACAATGCATCAGAGATGTGTAATCTTTTTCCAGCTGTGTTGTTCTGTTGGTTGTTAGGTGGCATACCAATGGTGGAGATAATTTTTTTTAGCAATTTTAAGACAAAAATAGATACATATAATTTTTTTCCAGTTAAGATAAAAAAAATAAATTAGTTCTAAGCTTACCTTGTTGAGCTGTTATTCTTAAAGGCAATTTTGTAAAAGCCAGAGTAAGTGTCGGATAAATTAGAGGAATACTCTATGCTGATCTTATATTTATGCCCTGCAAGAAGAGCTTCTGGAGCTATAATTGCAATCTGGTCATTCATTGGGTATTCCAGGAAATCAGCTGGTTTTGGCTGGCTTGAACCCAGTGAAGCCAATGTTACCTTGGTAATATTAAGCTTTGAACTATGAAGTATAACATGCATAGTAACCTGGATAACTTCCACAGTTATTTGAACAGAACCTGTAAATCTCATTGTGGTTAGATTTGGCTGCAGAAAAATATCATAATGTTTTGGAACAACAAATTCTGGAAGCCTAAAATGAGCCCATGGAAATGGTTTCCCATTAGTTGCCAAAGGATATATCTCTTCCATTGTGTGGTTTTTGTTGTGACAACCTTCTTTGGTAAAAGTGCACTTGGGGAGAAGATAGATCGCCATTATTACGGAGACAGCAATCACAAGGACAACTGCACAGATTATTGTAGTCCTTACGGATGGAGCGGAACATGATCCATCTGAACGTTGCCTATAACCAGCCATATTACTTCTCAGACCAGTACTTCTATTCATGAAAGACATCCCCAAAAGTTTGGCTGATGACGATTCATAATCCTCTTCATCCTCGTCCATTTCATGATCTCCAAGACCACGTACAAGAAGACGAGAACTTCTTGGTTCGTATTCTACCTCATCAGGTTCCAAAGGATGCAAGCTAGGCTCTTTAGCCAAATCAACCACATCAGGCTCCTCCTCAAACATGCTGTTTTCAATCATATTTCTAGGTAACTGAACTCGATCTAAGAAACACAAAAGCAGCATGTTACACAAAAAGTAACTGAAATAGCTGTGGTTGGGTTTTTGATTATTTTACATATAGCTGATAAAAATTGGGGTTCATATTATAGTTCTCATATAAGAAATTATTTGCAATGTATCTGTAAAGTAACAACTCAAATAGCTGCTGTAATATGATGAAAAAAATGAATGAATCAAATGGATGAATCAAAATTATTTGGTGATTTCTTCATAATGAAAATGAATGATAATAGATACGGTTAGAGAGAGCATACAATTCAGAATGGATATAACATTACATCAACAGAAAGCTACTTACAAAGTGGGAATTCTATAGTCTAGAGCAGGAATGTCAAACTTGATCACATCACAGGCCATATTGTGATGTATCTGCATGTTTTTTGCCTTTGCGGAGCCAGGGTGGGCATGGCTGAGGTATCCAGTCCGCGTGCCACCAGTTTGACAGGTCTGATCTAGAGCCACCCATTGTTCCAGATGTGTAGATTACCTTAAGAATAGGTTTTAAGGATGAGCTAGCAAAATGATAAGTGGATCACTAAATTTCACCAGTTACCTTTACTTTTAAGGAAATCACAGAAAGCATATTCATCATTCAGTACACCTTGCTTCAAATATTCTTACTAAAATACAATATATTTTTTCTTTTAAAATATATTACTAAGATCAGACACAGTTTATAAAATGAAACTGCAATCACTACAAATACGTAAGCAAATTCTGGTCACAATATCTCTGAATCTACTGAAATTTTTCATTAATGTCTCCACTCCAAAATGCACTGATTTAGCTCATGCTACAGACGTTTTGGCCTTATCAAAAAACTATTATCTGTTCCCCTATAACTATAAATACATTCCAAATATAAACTAACTTTATATGCAGACACCTCTGCTCAGTTACAGGGAAGTATAATTCATATTCAAAAATAAAACTTTGTCTTATAATGTGATTTTATTCAATATACAGCAGAATAGTCCCATAGCAAAACATGCAGCAATGTAGTTATTATATAGCCTTGAAATCATTTGCACTAAAAGTAGACTTATTGTAGCCTTACCTAGAGCAGTGATGGCAAATTTTTTTCTACGAGGTGCACATGTGCGTGCCCATACCCATAATGCAATGCCCTCCCCCCCACGCATGCTCACATAGCCCCCTCCCCACCATACAAGTGCGTGGGCCTCACTGAAGCCTCTGGATTTCTGGTAGGCCTGTCGGGCCGCTTTTTGCCCTCCCCAGGCTTTAGGAAAGCTTTCTGAAGCCTGGGGAGAGCAAAAAATGGCCCGACTGGCTTACCGGAAGTCAAAAGCCCAAAAATTAGCTGGCCAGTGTGCGCAGAGTAACTAACTAGATTAACATTATTCTGGAATGTTTAGGTACACATATTAACTTAATATTACTCTTCAGCATTTTTACATCTTAACTCTTCCAACTTTATTAACAGTGACATATGGATTTCCCCCCCATAGCCTTAATATCAGCAGATAACTTCACTGCAGACAACTGCTAAGATATCTGCTTCAATTATGCATTAAGCAGTCTGTCATATTATAAATAAATATGAATTATTTAAAAAAAATCAAAGTGCATTAGATGCAATACTTACATAGTGTTGCATCTAGCAGACTAGAGCAATTTTCCTAAACAAGTTACAATGTTCTTCACAAGCCTGGCAGAAACACTAATGGTGAAATCTGCATAATTGTGCTCTAAGAAACTATACAAAAATCCTTTTTTCCCCTCAATTCAAAAGTATATTCACAATTCAATGACCAATTAAACTAACAATTAACATTTTTATGCTTCTTAATTTTGAACACCAAGAAATATTTGGGAGAGACTTGGGATCCAGCAGCTGCTAAGGACATGCCTGGCAGAATGTTCCATATGCAACTGGTAATATTGCTAATTCAAAGGATGATAGAAAGTGCCCCCATCTGAGTTCTCAGAGAGCCTCTGACAATCAAAGTAGATAAAAGTTAATATAGTGAGTACTACTTAATATTGTATAGTACTGCTATGCTATACTATGTAGATGAAAGTATATAGTGATGAAAAGTCGATCAAAACTAAAATAAGTTCTGTGTACATGTCCAGAATTTATCCAATTCACTGAAACTAACTGGATTAAATTTGCTTAAAATTTTCTGGCTAGAGATATGGTTCACCTACTATAGGTTCACGATTAGGGGGCTGTGACCGAATTGCTTAATTCCTTACGTCCCTATCCCAGCCCCTTTACTTACCTAGGCTCATAGACTTCAATAATGATAGTCTTTGAGCAGCATATGGTACCATTCAATGGTAAGTGTTATGGCAATTTAATTAAAACAAATACAGTACATATAAAATTATGATATTTATTCTAACAATTCCTTATGCAAGACTGTAAATAATGTTTTCAAAGAAATGAAAAACAATTTACTACAAAACAGGAAACATAGGCCTTGTACAAGTGGGTCACTGCATGAGTGGAACTGAAACAAGGGAAATAGACACAGTCTACTCTCCCCTCTAACCTTCCCATCCATTAGTTGATGTGGTTATTGCCTGATCTGCAGTCATATTAAATTAGAAAATGCTTTAAATCACTTTTCAAAGCTTTATTTTAAGAGTACAAAAATATCTTCAAACAATCTGACTATCAGGAAGGTTTGGGGTGGCATTTCCATGGAGGCTTAATCTCTGTTCTGTCAAGGCGGCAGGTATGAGATAGAAATGAAACATATTAAAAAATACAAACATAAAATAAAAGTCCTATCAGTTAATGATGGACTAATTTTATTCTGAGAAAGGAAGGACAATATATACATTATCAATTAGTTAAGCATTGGAAATTTAATGTGAGCATCAAATTTTTAAATCCAAATTGTATGAAACAGTCACCATTTTTGGTGCAGAGTTAGCCTTCAGGATTGAGCATGATCTGAACAACAGATTTCCTGACATTTGACTGGCAACTATGGTTGAGGATCTTTTGAGGCAAAGTTATCTGTTACACAGACCATGGCTACTGAGAAGAGATGGTCCTCCCTTGCCTTTGAAAATGCCAGCCACAGCTGTCAACAAAACATCAGCAAATTTGTTGTCTAGACCACCATGTTCACTAAACCCTGAAGCCCAACAAATGTTGACTATGAAAGCCAATATCAGTGTATTAGTCACAATTTTCCATCCTTTAATCACAGGAGTATTTTCTGGCTTTCTATCAGAAATGTAAGCACACAGTATAACTTTATAAAATAACAAATAGTAAAAAGGAATCTTTTTTATTTGGTCCTGTCTCCTGCTCAACATCTGCTTAAGACTGCTAGACAGCAAAAACTCATCATCCAGAATAATAGTCTGTTTCACTGACACTTGTTCTGACCTTTAAGACATTTCCCTTAATGTTTCACCAAAATCTCTTTCTTTTGCGATTTCCCCTCTGGGATTCTAATCCTGCCTTGAAATAACAGAAAATGATTTTGCTCCATTATCGACATGATAGCTTTTTAAATATTTAGAGGACACTAACATATCTCCCTTCCAGCTTCTTTTTAAGGCTAAACAATCTTCAATATTTCAGTTGTTCCTCATACAAATACCTTCTCCAAGTGTGCTCAAATCTGTGAATGCTTAATTTATTTTTAAAACTGTACACAATATTACAAAATCAACTATTTTTCTTATTGAATGCAAACTTTTTAATTTATATTGCCTAAAACGTATCTTTTCCATTTGAAGCCAAATGTAAGGAGTGACAGAACCTGGGGAGTAGAGTTAAAAGAGGGATCTGCCTAGAATTCTTATATAGTCACAAGTACACTTAGTAGAACCTGCCCCCCCTTGAGTGACAAAATTACTATAGACCAAAGAACAAAATCATAATAGATGAAAATATAAGAACTTGTAGATTGTATTCCAATGCTTTTCTTCATGCCAGACTCCTCATATTTTCAAATTCAAACGCAAAACATTCTTTGTTTTGCCTATAGCTGTCAAACTGGAGAACTTCCAGTTTGAAATTAATTTAACATTTTAGTTCATATGTTCTGAAGATGAATAAGAAATGTCCTTGTTAATATATACATAATGTAAACCTTTATAATTTATATTCAGACTTTTAAGAAATTCTACTTACAATTCAAATGTATTTTAAAACTAGAGATCAGGGGCAGACAGTCTGCTCCCTAAGGCCATGGCCTAATTTCAAAAGTTCTTTGAAAAATGTAATTTCTAATCTTTAGTAAATGGTATCTATCCACATCTACATCTTACACTGGATTGAAAGAAGATTATCAGAAACAATGGATGATAGAAAAAGAAAAAAAGATTGTCAAAAAAAAGCATCCTCATTCATAAAGGACTCTGAACCCACTCATTATTTATTTCAATCTTACCAATTATATATTTCCCAAAAATGTAGCCCTCTATTTTTTTTAAAAAAAGTTTGCTAATCCTTCTCTAGATAATGATACTGTCGGGTGCAAAGGATCAGGACCATACATTAAGCTCAGAAGCAGTTTAGAAGAAGCCTACAGGATATACAAGAATCTAGTCAACTAATGGTCATTACTAAATTGGCACTAGGTAAGAGTTAATAAAATTTAAGAGGTTGGATTTGGATTGCTTGTGGCAATGTGACAAATCGAGACTGATTACTCTCTTAACTCCATTCCCTGGCTCTGCTTTCTCTTCTCCTAGTCATTGCACATATAAAATAATGCATAATTTTAGTCAATGTAGTCATAAAAATATGGCATTCTACATGTTTAATTCTAATATGAAAACATTAGCTCATTACTGAAAAATATTTAATTCTGGTGGGATACAGATGCACGGGTACATCAAAACTTCATCTGAGCACCTATCATAGTATAAGACGCACCGGAGCATAAGACGCACCAAGGTTTTGAAGAGGCTTTTTTTAAAAGTAGATAGGTAGCTAAAGGAAGAGAGAGAGAGAGAGAGAGAGAGAGAGAGAGAGAGAGAGAGAGAG